TTGTACAAGGTGCTCCCAGGGGGGAATGCTGTGGAAGGTAGCTCCATCCATGCATCCTTTGGTTTTTCTGTAGCCTCTTCTCTTACAGTATCCAAGGTGGGGGGACGGTTGCACGGCCCTCTGGTTAAACACTGTGAAAGGGATCATGCTTGGTACAAATTCAGCAGCTCCCTGCTGGCTCAGCCGTTCCCTTACTTACCTGGCCCAGATGAGACCAGAAGCTAGCCCTGCCTCTCTCCGTGGGGAGCTGTGGGTCTGTATACCAGAGGCGCTGCTCTTGGCATGCCCCGGATCTGAATGCTCCAACTCCAGCATCCCTGTGTAAATGATTAACATCAGCAAACAAACCTGTCACCCTTTTGCCTGGACCTCCTAGGGCCAAGTTGGCTTTTCGAGCAGCTGTTATCAATGGTGCCAAGAAACAGAGGGCATGAGGGGGGCACTGGCACCATACAGCTGCTCGAGGTCCGTGGGAAACAGCTGCCCCATGCCATAAAGGAGTGATGGAAGCCAGTCCTGAATTCAGATGCCAAATCAGTCCCCAACCTTCTCCCCGCCCACCCCCTGGCCTCATCCGGGCTGGAGCACTCCTCGGTATGGAGATTCACCCCACACCTTTTGCAACCTCCGCTTTCCAGCAGGCTGCTGGCTCGGCCTAATCCCTGGCAGCAGGTCTGGAGGGCGGGCATGAATAATTAACCAGCCTGTATTGTGAGCTGTGAGTGATAGGTTTTTGCGGGGGCGGGGGGAGCGGGAGAAGAGAACAACAGATGGGCAGATGCGACAGGGAGGGAGCCGGCTTCCACAGGTAGGCCGGCTCTGGTCCCTGGGCTGTGGTCGCTCTTAGGAGCCCAGCTCCCATTTTAGCAGGAGAAAGGAGGGATGCGTTCCTAGCCAGAGGAGCCTCGTCCACTTCCCCCTCTCCTCGCGCTGCTGCTTTAAAGGGGAGACGGGTCTTGCCAACCACCTGGCATCTCCAAACCGGCCTAAGGAGGGGAACTCCCCCCTCCTTATCTAACGCCCATTTCTTCCCCCTGGGTCAATGCAGATGAGAAGGAGGACAGCATCTTGGGCAGCATCCCGCTCCTCAGCTTCCGGGTGGCAGCCATCCAGCCGTCGGACAACATCAGCAGGAAACACACCTTTAAGGTCAGTGTGTGGCCCTGACGGCATCTCGGGGGCAGCGTCGCGCTCCCAGCCGTTGGCCCGGTTCCCGGAGGCCACGAATGGAGCCGCGGTTTGTTGCGCGACCCTCCTTTCCGAGAATCTCGCTGCCTGGTAGGGCCTGACGTAGGCTGTTGGGTAAGAGCAGTGCTCAGAGGTCTCTTGGCTTGTGCTCTCCGCTTCCTGTGGTGACCGGCGCTTGGGGGAGGTGTGAGCTGCTGTGGACGGTCGCTAAAGACAGGCACGTACCTGAAGGGGAAAAACGGGCATTAGTGACCTGGTTGCCTGCTGCAAACTGGGGTCCTTGACACACCACTGGGGTAGAGACAGAACTGCCGCTGTGTCCTCTCACCGTGCTCAGAACAGGATTAACGAGTCCAGGTCTTTTAGCCTTCCAGGGTGTGACCCAGCCCTGCCCCTTTTGTCACTGGCCACACCTGCGCCAAGCAGGGGGGCATATGGCACCCCCACTCTGAGCCGCCTGCTTTGCTCAGATGTGAAGAGGACCACATGAGAGGTAAAACAGAGGGGAATCGGGTCTCTGGGTTTCCTGTCCAATAACGTTTAGCCAGAACGCAAAGACCAGACCCAGACCAAAGCGCCCCGTGACTTGGGGAGGGAGCTCAGATTGTAGGAGGAATCCTGCTGCTTGTTCCCCCTCTGAAGCTGTCCCTCTGTCCGTAAGAAAGATGGGTGGAGGAGCTGGCGTGCAGATCCAGACTGGGTTAGAGCCTGTGTGATGGCGAGTGTCTTCAGCTCCTATTGACTTCAGCGGGAGTTGAGGGTGCTTAGCAGTCTTGCTGCTAATACGGGGTGAAATTGACCCCTGTGCAGAGAGCAAGCACAATAATACCACCACCAAGTGCTTTACACCCATAACTCTCAAAGTACTTTTTGAAGGAGGTCAGGATCGTTACTGCTGTTGTACAGATGGGGAAACTGAGGCACACACAAGGCAAGTGACTTGCCCAAGGTCATCCAGCAGGCCAGTGGCAGAGCCAAGAATAGAACCCAGGTCTCCTGATGCCCAGCCCAGTGCTCTGGTCACTAGGCCACGCTGCCTCTAACTGGAAGCTGTGCGTGGGCCTTGTCAACCCCATAGGTTTAAGTGTGTTAGCCTGCTGCACAAGCGTGAATTGCTCCTAGCCAGCGGTGATCAAAGCATGCTAGTAACCCAATGCCAAGGAGGGGCTTCTCCTTCTCAGCTGACAGCTGTGTGAGGGTTTTCGCAAGCCGTCTACTCAGCCATTTCCCCGTTTTGAGTTACTCTCCCCTGTTAATAAAAACAACAAACGTACGTAAGCCAGTGTTGCTATAGAATCGCACCCCCGGCAGTGCTAGAATTAGGCTGCGTTCAAGCCCAGATGTGCAGGAGGGCTTCCCCCATCTCTCTCTTAAACTAGTTTAGACTAGTGTTCACACACACACACACACACACACACACACACACACACACACACACACAC